TGGAAATGCTATAGGATATTTGGTGCTGTCTCTTAGGAGTGTGGTATGCTCATATTGTAAGCCTGTTTACTAAAATCAGTGCAGCATATAAGTATGCAATGGAAACTGAGGTGTGCGTGATTGATGAATTCCCCTCACTGCACGTCTTAGGAGACTTCCTCCTCACCCAGGAGTGTAAGCATGCAGTTGGAGTGGGTCTTGTAATTTAAATTTTTTTTTCCCTTGGATTAACAACGCCTTGGTGCAGATAAACTCTACGTGGAGTAAAGCACATGCTAAATCTGTAGTTGTCATGAGTGCAGCACTCTCCAAAGCTGTGTATCTTGAACCTTCTCAGGACAGATGAAGCCTGTCATCTTATGTATTTGTGTCCTGGCAGAGGAAGAAAAAACCAAAATGTTGCAGATTTACCTCATTATTGCTGTAGGACCAAGGTTGTGCTGGAGCACATCTGCCCACTGCCCTGCAGCTTCCAAAGAGACATCACCCAGCATTTCAGGCAAAATTTCTTGCCTCTAGCTGATGCTTGACACTACCAGCCCTTGCAGCCTAGGGCTTGGGGAAACCACAAAGCCTCTGAGTTTCTGAAAACCTCATCTGCATCAAAATCTGTGTGACAGGTGAAGGTGGAGCAGTACATTACAGTTGTATGTAGCGCTGGGTACAGAACATAGTTGATTGTCAGCCCTGCAAAGAGCCAGAGTGTGATAAACACCTTGGGCATGGGCACGATCTTGCTATGTCACAACACTGATTGTCTGAGTTTCTTGCTTTGTGGGACACTGATTCCTGAAGTTATTTTTATTTGCTCTTTTAATACTTGTGTTTTTACGAATTCTCACTGTCATTTTTACACTGTCCAACTCTGAAAGTGTGTCACTTTTATTTATACCTATTCATTTCTACACTCAGTAGTCACTAATGAAGAAAACTACATAATGAAGGTATCTTCAGGACTGTTATCTCTACAGGTGTAAGCACATGTCTTTTTTGGGCTGCTGCTTAAAACCTCAGTTTATGAAGTGTTAATAAAGCCTGACTTTAACTAGTGTGTGTTTTCTCATGTGACAGAATCCTGAATATTTCTGTTAGTGTTTAACTGGCTACAGGATTTTTGTTTTTCAAAGTATTGCTCAAGCATGAATAAAATAAATCCTTAAAGGACATGGGATGCATCCTCTGAAATTGTCTCCCTAATCCTGCTTTGAAGGCCACAGAAACGTGCTTTGGTAGAAAATATTTGTCTTCATGCTAAATGCTATTGCACTACACCAAGAAGCGTTCCTTGGGTTTGAGTCATGCTGCTGACTCTTCATTTTGGGACAGTCTTGCTGGTGATTCTTGGGCAGGACAAGGGATACCACAGCACACCTGTGCATCTGGCATGGACTGCCTTTCAGGGACATGGTGTGCACACTAACCTTAGTATGGAGCTTGAGTTTTAACAGCAGGCAGGTCAGCAGAGGGCAACAGGGCATGTTGTATGGGCCAGAGTTGGATGATGAGGACTAAAACAATATTTTGCATGCTCAATGGGACTGTACACCTGCCCACCGTACATGTGGGTTTGGGTCAGGGTTAGGTTTGGGGTTAATGCAAAGCAGGGAGCTCAGTGTGGCAAGCGTGGCATGTTGCAGAACTTGGAGGTGGTCTGCCACGAGGGCAGCTGTGTCAGACTGGGGCAAGCTTTTGTCACAACAGGGTATGCTGGTACTGCTCATTCTTGTGCTGTAGATGGAAATGCTGGCACAGCTGTACAGCCTGGAGAGCTGCTGTGAAGCTCCAGCTCTTACCTGGAATGTTGAATTTGTTAATGTTGCCCAAGAAACTGGTTCCAGAGGCTTTATGCCACCTCACCTCTGGGGACATGAGGGGATGCTGTGAGTGAAGGAGATGGTCTGGATATTTGCATTATGGGTCTGAACTAGGTCAGAATGGCTCTATCAGCCTTTTGCCACTGTCGGACACTGGCATGTTAACAGAGGTGTTTTTCCAGCAGTAGGTTCCCACCTGGCAGGTGTCAGGAGGATGACGGTGGTTGAGTTGCACAGCTGCAAAATACGAGTGCGCGGATCATTTCCCAGTCTCCAGTAGATGGGGCTGTTATTCCTCGTTTCTCTGGGTTTCGGCTGCTGCTGGCAGCCTGGCTGGAGAGTTGGACAGAGAAGGCACCGCGGGAGGGAAGGCACAAAGCTGCTCTTGCCTGCCTCTTTGACTTACTTGTAGCAGGATGATGCCCTCTCACAGGGACAATAATACACCCCGAAACCTACTGGTTTTCTATATGTCTCAGTGTTAAACTTGTCACTTCCATGCTCAGCTCTAAACCTTGATCCTGCTTTTAATTTCCCTAATGGAGCAAGTGTGGGATGCTGCTGGCTGCAAGTGCCCCTACTTGAAGATATGTTGGAAACTTTCTAT